AAAAAAGAAAAAGTTTGGGTGTTATAAATTTCAAAGAGCAATAGAGTGAGTATAAAGTTACATTGTGGCTATCACAAATATACCTGACACGACAAATAAAATTCTATCCGTATTAAAAAAAAAAAAATGACAACTTCTAAAGGAAATACACAAAACCTTCTACTTAAACAACATACTGTACTTTATGAAAGGCTTTCATCGTAATTTGCTCACTTCATCTTTATAATCTCCTGAGCTATTCGTAAGGGCAAATTACAATCATCAAGGTAATTTCTAAATGTGAGGGCAGGCCCAAAAGTACAAAGTTCAGAAGTGACAGATCTGGGATTTGAAGTGAGGTGTTCTGATCAACGGGTATTATTCTTCAGGAGAGGGAGCTTTTCAATGGAAAGATTTCTGTTTTTATTATTGATCATTTTATTGGGGACTCTTACAGATATTATAACAATGCACAAATCAATTACATCAAGTGAACTTTATAGATGCTACCATCATCATTTACAAAACTTTTGCTTTCTATTTGAGCTCCTTGATATCATCTCCTTTTTATTCCCTCCCTCCCCCACCTTGCTACCCTCAAGAACCCTTAATAAATTATATATAATTATTATTTTTTTCATATCTCACACTGTCCAATATATCCCTCAGCCACAGTCCTGTTATTTGTCCTCTTCCAGCGGGGGTTGTATGTCCATCATTGCTGTCAGTTCCCTTTTCCCTTCCTTCCCCCTCCCTCCCTTCCTGTACCCTCATGGAATTGTTACTCACATTACTCGTTCTGAGGGGCTTATCTATCCTGGAATCTGTGTGTTGAAAGCTCTTATCATCTAGCTCTTTAATGCTTCCTCCCCTCATTATGTGTCTCCAGTTACACCTCACAAATCCTGTTAAACTGGTGCATGTACATTGGCACAGATAAGAGCTTTCAATGGAAAGATTTCTGCTGACATTTTGATTTATTATTGTATGGAAATTTTCTTTAAATAATCTCTGTAATTGTGTCCCTTGGCTTACTTTTAAGATTTTTTCCCTGTTTTATGAAAAGTATTATCACCATTGTGTCACTTCTGGTTCATAGTAACCCTATGAGACAGAGTAGAGCTGTACCTGTGAATTTCCAAGACTTTAAATATTTTTTTAAATCATTTTATTGGGGGTTCGTATAACTCTTACCACAATCCATACATCCATCCATTGTGTCAAGCACATTTGTACATTTGTTGCCATCATCATTCTCAAAACATTTTCTTTCTACTTGAGCCTTTGGTATCAGCTTCTCATCTTCCCCCCTCCCTCCCTGTCCCCCACTCATGAACCCTTGCTAATTTATGAATTATTATTTTGTCATGTCAGACACTCTCCGACGTCTCCTTTCACTCATTTTTCTGTTGTCTGTCCCCCAGGGAATGGGTTATAGGTAGATCCTTGTGATCGGTTCCCCTTTTCTACCCCTTCTTCCCTCCACCCTCCTGATATTGCCCCTCTTACCACTGGTCCTAAGGGGTTCATCTGTTCTGGATTCCCTGTGTTTTCAGTTCCTATCTGTACCAGTGTACTTCCTCTGGTCTAGCCAGATTTGTAAGGTAGAATTGGGATCATGATCATGGGGGAGAGGAAGCATTAAAGAACTAGAGGAAAGTTGTATGTTTCATCGTTGCTAGCCTGCACCCTGACTGGTTCGTCTCCTCCCCGCAACCTTTCTGTAAAGGGATGTCCAGTTTCCTACAGATGGGCTTTGGGTCTCCTCTCTGCACTCCCCCTCATTCACAATGATCTGATTTTTTGTTCTTTGATGCCTGCTACCTGATCCCATTGACACCTCACACAGGCTGGTGTACTTCTTCCTTGTGAGCTTTGTTGTTTCTCAGCTAGATGGCCGCTTGCTTATTTTCAAGCTTTTAAGACCCTGGATGCTATATCTTTTGATAGCCGTCATCTCTCTTCACACCATCAGCTTTCTTCGCATTTGCTTATGCACCCACTGTATCTTCAGCGTTTGTGTCAGGAAGATGAGCATTATGAAATGCTAGCTTAATAGAAAAAAGTGTTCTTGCATTGAGGGAGGACTTGAGTGGAGGCCCAATGTCCATCTGCTACCTTAATACTAAACTATAAATATATGCACATAGATCTATTTCCCCATCATCATATATAAATATATTTACATATGTACATGTCTATATTTAGACCGCTATAAATACCTTTTGCCTCCTAGTTCTTTCCTCTATTTCCTTTTACTTTCCTGTTGTCTCACTATCATGTTCAGCCTTCATTTGGGTTTCCGTAATTCCTCTCGATTACATTGCCCTTGATCAAGCCCTTTCAGGCCTCCTACACCCTCCTCACCATTGATTTTGAATCACTTGTTGTTCCCTTGTCCCTGGGTTTGTTAACGCCCACTTTCTTTCCTCCACCTTCCCCTCTCCTATGTCCCCCCAAAACCGTTTGTCCTGTTGTTTTCTCCTTCAGATTGTTTGTCCCACCTATCCTATTTCGCTAGACGTGCAGAGATAATAATATGCACAAAAGCAAGAGAGAGGAAAACAAAGCAACAAAAGAAAACTAAACAGCAACAACAAAACCAATGAAAAAAAGAAAAGAAAAGCCTGTAAATAGTTAAAGATTTGTTTGTTGACCTTTAGGAGTGTTTTCTGGTCCAGTCTGCTGGGGTGCCATGCCCTGGCCCCAAAGTCTATTTTTGGTATTCCCTTGGGACTTCCTTGCTCTGTTCCTCTTGCTGTTCTGTTGCATGCCCTTAGTGTTTTGCCTCGGTGTGGTGGGGTCAGATTGGGTGACATTCCCACACTTTAAGGAATAGAAAGCCTTCCTTGAGCAGCTGATGGTTTGTACAGTTGACCTGTGGATTGCAGTCCAGTATTTCTTCACTGGGAATTAAGAATGATGTGGATGTTGTGTCTGACCTCCTACTTAATAAAACGCAAAAAAACTTTAACTGCCTTCAAACTAATTCTGATGAGCCTTGTT